GGAGAAACTGAGGCACAGTGAAGGGTAGTGACCTGAGAAGTGGTGAGATAAGTCTTCTAACTTTTGATGTGGAGCTGGTTCCACTCCTGGGTCAGAATAGAGAAGTGGTTAAGGGCTTGGGCTTTGGGGTCAGACCCCAGCCGCTCATCAGCTGGGTGACCTTGTGTGAGGCGTTTGACCCCTCTTTGCCTCAGTTGCTCAACAGTAAAATGGGGATAATAATAGTGCCCACTGCCTGAGCTTGTTGAAAGGCTAAAATGAGTTAATGCAGGAAAAGTGCCTGGGCCAAGATAGTGATCGATAAATGCCAGTAATTGTCATTGCTCCTTGGGACATCCAGTGCTCCCTCTACTTCTCATTTCTTCCTGTCTTCTCTCCCTTCCTTCTTCTCCTCTGTCCTTTTTTTCCTCCAGCAACAGTCCTGCACTCATTCGTTCACTCAACAGGCACTTGCTGAGCCTCAGTGAAGGGCAGGGCCTTCCCAAGGCTGGGAAGACAAAACTGAACCAGACAGGCGCTGGCCGGGGACTTTGCTAGTCTCTCTCCTCCTCCTTTTCCCACTAGAAGGCTCCTCCCTACACCCAACAGCCACATCTCACCCACCAAACTTTTATTAAAACATTTATTCTTCCCTCTGCTTTTTCTCAGCTAGTTCGCAATTCTCCATCCCCCAGAGTCATCCTACCTCCTCTGAAGGAACCTCATCTGGGGTGGGGGAGGCTGGAAACGGGGAGGCTGGGAGGAGGGCACTGGGGTGAGGTGAAAAAGGAAGGCTCCTCTTCCTTTCCCAACCACCAACCCCAACTCAAAAAAAAATTAAAGCTGGGGGCCGGGAGAGAGCACCACCCCCAAAAAGCAGCCTCTGGTCTCTCAAGGCTCTCAGTGCCTGTCCGCCACCTCCACTTCCCCTGCAGGGAGTGAAATCAGATGCTCTTTTCCTCATTTGCTTCATTTTAGCATTTCCTGAGCTTTCCCTGAAATAAAATACAAACTCTTTGCCATGGTCAGCAAGATCTGGCCACTGCCTGCCCGTGGACCTCACCCCCCACCCTGCCCTCGGTCACACTGCCCTGACACACGAGCTTCTTGCTGTCCGGGAAAACACCAAGCTTGTCCCTACCTCAGGGCCTCTGCACTTGCTCTCTCTGCCCAGGATGCTGCTTCCTCGGCATCATTCTCTGCTCACATGTCACCTCCCCGAGGACGCTTTCTCCCTCCAGGAGCTCCCCAGCCTTTCTCTCTCTTTACCCTGTTTGAGTGACCACAATGATTTTGCTTATTCATTTATTTCCATATTTCCTGTGCCCCTGCTAGAATGGGAGGTCCTTGGAGGCAGGGGCTTTGTTCTGTGTCCCCTCATGTCCTCAGCACCTCCAGCAGTGCCTGGCACATAGTAGGTCCTCACTCTCTGTGAATCAGGCGCTAAATCAAGATAAGCCTATGAGATTCCTGCCCCTGAGGGGCCTATGCTGTAGGAGGATGATGAGAAAGCTCCTAGAACAAAGTTTGGGGAGGGAGGAGGAGCTGGTACACCCCAGGCATTGCCCGGAGTTGCCAGGTTGACACGGAGGCTTTGCCCTGTTTTCCACTCCCTGGCATTTTGCCAGGGGTCAACAGTGGGGAAGTAGATGGCTCTGGTGAACTGTGCCCCCACAGAGAAGGCTGCACAGGTGGGAGGGGAGGTGGCGTCAGCTAAGGACCCTATCGGAGTCATCTGTAGAGGCCCCTGCCTGCAAGTTGGCTGCCTGGGATCCAGAGCCGCTCCCATTTCTAGGCCTCCAGGGAAGACCCCGGCGTGCTCCCTGCCAGCCTGTGAGCTTCCTGAGGGCAGGATCTGCACGCCTGTTGCAGAAGCCAAGGAGCCAAACACAATGCCTGGACTCAGGAGCTCTCCGTGATGGATGGGTGAACAGATAAATCTGAGTCTGTCTCAGTTTGTGTCACTGGGAAAGCCTTGAAAGTCATTGCAGCTCCACTTCCTGGTCACAATTTTCTGGTTTCTGGTCCTCTGCAGTGACAGAAAGCAACACCTAATCGTACTTGAGTAGCTCTTATTTCTTGAGTGGCTATTTTGTGCCACGCACTATGCTAAACGCCTGTATTGTCCATTAGACCCCGACAACAACTGTACCAGGTGGTTATTACTATGAATATACCCATGATACAGATGAGGAAACCAAGGCAGAGAATAACTTTGCCAAGGCTGAACTGGGCTGTCTGAGTCCAGGGCCAATGCTTTTCACCCCCGGGGAAGAGCTGCTTGGGTGGGCAGGTAACAAAAGCCTCACTCCCTGACTTACCCCGGTGCAACAAGTGTTTACACATTTTCTCTGAGTTCATAAAGAGAAGAAACTTGAATGTGAGTGCATTGGGTGAGAAGGAGGGAGCAAGTGGAACAAATCTGTCCTTTAACTGCAAGTCTCATTTCAGTCCTTTAGCAAAAGACAAAAGGAACTGAAGAAATCACAGGGCCAAGCACCAGATTGTGTACACAGTAAGCACTCAATAAATGTTGACGAAGAGTCACTATTTTTAAGTTTAAAAAATTAGACTCTGTGCTTGTTTCCCGTTTTCCTAAGCTGCTTCTGATTTTGAGGTCCTCCTTGGGCGAGGTGTGTGTTTTTCAGGTTCCCTGGGCCTTGTCTGGCGCTTGCATCACAGGAGGTGCTCAATAGATGCTTAGTGACTGAATAATTAAACAAATGCCCGAGATAAGTGATTATGGTGATTACTGGGCAAGTTGTAATTAAAAATAAAAAAAAGCTGAGTGCATTTCTTTTATTTACGAATGTCTCCCTCGAGAGTCCTGGGAAGGGAGAACGGGAGAGGGGGCTTTTTCCCAAACACTAAGTTGGGTCCCTGAATCCCATCCAAGCCGATGAACTTGACAAGTCCCTCCACCCTTAAATTCTCTCATTCCTTTTGCAAAGGACGTGACTATTTGTTTCTGACTATATACCGCATACATGTTTACTGTAGAAAATTCAGAAACTGCAGATAAACAGGAAGAGGAAAATTTAAATCATCTGTAATCCCACCACCCATGAATAATCACTGTGGATGTTTTGGTGTATTTCCTGCCTGTCTAGGTTTTCTCTTTGTTTGTTTTTTGTTTTTCGCTTTGTTTTCTTTTATAAAATCAGAATCACACTGAACATACCGGTTTTTGTTTTTGTTTTCAGCCTGCCAGGTATACGTAGCATGAACACTTTCTCACGTCATTAAATATTCTTCTACAGCATGATTTTTAATGGCTGTATTGTAGTTTGATCATAATTTACTTAACCAGTCCCTCACTATTGGACACTTTGCACATCGAACTCGTTTCCAATTCTTTTCATTATTATAAATAACTCTAATGAATATCTTTGTCCGTAAGTAATCGTGCACATTCCTTAAAGTGGAATTGTTGAGTCAAAGTGTGTGCGTACATTTCAAAGCTTTGGAGTCTCTCCTTGCCAGATTGCCCCCTCCCCACAAGGCTGGGTGGATCTGCCCTCCCACCAGCAGCACAGTGTATGAGGAAGCCCATCGCTCTAGACGCTCTCCAGCCTTCAGTTTTCTCTCTCCCTCTCTTTTTTAACCCCTGTTAATTTAATGGGTGAAAGAGTCTGTGATTCTAGTAATGAATCCTTATTAGAACCGTGCTGGCCACAAGCAGGGGCTGTTTCAAGGTTTGAGCGGCCTTGTTCAGACCCACAACCTCAGGGAAGAGATGAGGAGAAGGGCAGACTCCTAGGAACCAGGAGCTGGAGCTGAAAGCTTAGCCCTTTTACGGGTTCTCGGGAGCTTCCAGAACGTCTACCTGAGCCCAGGCTTCTCAGGCATCTGCTCAACTCTTGGGGGCGGAGGGGTGGGGTCTATCTCAGTCTTTCAGCCTCAACAGAGATGAGCTCCTGCTTCCTCCTACCTCTCCACCCACACCTTCCAGAAACCTCTTTCGACAGAGGAGCCTTAGGGATTTCTATGCCATAAATACTACCTGTTTTCTGAGCTCAGGATCTACACTTTGTCCCTGCTTTCATTTTCCCTGCCTGAGCTCTCACTCAGTTCCAGTCAAGGGGCAGGCTATTTTGTTCTCTGGTTCAAACTTCTCCTTTTCTAGCTTGTTCTAATTAATTTACTTTTTTGATATTTATGTTTACCCCTGCCTGGTAACGAGAAGAATTGCAGGTGACTAATTTTTTCCTTTTAGGAAATGTTCCCTAGACCCAAGGCCTCTGATCTCCATGGCCCCTTCCAGCTTTAATATCCTCTGAACCATCTATCTTTTTTAAAAAACAGCTTTACATTTCTGAAAAAAAGGGGTAATTCACATTCAATGCTACCGGCTCAGGAAACACAGAGAAATACAAATATAAATATGACGCAGAAAATTAAAAAGTACTCTCAATCCAGGAGCTATGCATTTGGATGTGAGTTGGACTTAAAAAATCAAAATGAATTTAAATGAAACCCACCAGGTACCTCTTTTTGAGCCCACCCCAGCAGCCTGCCTGGATGATTTGAAGATGTGTGTGGATAGGAGAGTCCTTCATGCCAAGTAGTGAGGCATGTGTCTGATTTTATCTGTATGGGAGAGTGTGTGTGTGCGCATGTGCACATGCCTGTGTGGGACTACGTGTCCCTTTAAAGGAGGGTTTGGGTCCATGGAGGTATGGCCATGCTCTGTTTACACGCTGGAAGACTGTGCTCACGCTGTCAGCAGACACCTGAATACAGAGAAGTACAGCCAGGTGAAGGGCAGGGCTGACAGCTGACATCACCTCTTACCCAAAGATCTATGGGCGACACCTAACCCCTCCCACGCCAGCCAGGGTGGGGCAGGCCGGGCACCAGGGCCCTGTTGAATAAGGGAAACTGAGAGATGGAGAAGTCGAAGGGACCACCTGACCTCAGAGTGAAAGCCACCCTCCTGTGGCCTTTGTGGTTCCTACCACATACCACGTGGACCCATAGCTCAGTCCCTGCCCCTTCTTCCTTCCTCCCCACCTCTCCCAGATCTGAAATCAACACAGACCTCTGAGGGCACAAGCAAAATGGACTAGTCATGGCTGTGCTGCTCCTGTCTGAGGTTACGTAGCTGAGGATACGATCCTGCCTGAGGATACGATCCTGCCACGGGCAAAAGGAACCCACTGGGAGACTCCGGAAGTGGCCATGCTTCCTCCCGACTGGCACCTGTGCAGGGGCTGGCCGCCACCCATGGCACAGTGTCTCACAGAGGGCGGGGCTGGCCGAGGAGGCAGGAAAGAGCTGTTGTGCTGATGAGGTGCCGTCGTGTCACACGGACAGGAGTGCCAGGTAGCTGAATGTGGGTGGGGGAGGGCTGCCTCGCTGTGCCAACCTGGCCCGGATGTGAGCGATGGCCCTGCCCGCCTCTCCAGCCTCACCTCTCAACGCTCTCTCTGTCATGCATTTGCATACCCTCTGCTCCAGCGAGACAGAGCTCTTAGAGTTCCAAACGTGCCCTTCTGTGTCTCCCCTCCAGGCCTCTGTCCAGGCTGTTCCTTCTGCCCTGAAGACCTTTCTACTCTTTCTTAACTTGTCCTCCTCTCATTCCATTAAGACCAAAATAGGTATCACCTCTTCCAGGGAGACTTCCCTGATGTCCCTTGCCCAAAAGTGGGCTAGCTGCCTCAATTTGGGCTCCCATAGCCCCCTTGTTTCTTATGTCACAGCACTTATCACACTGTGTTATAATTGTCTTCTCCCAGTAGACTGTGTGTGTGTGTGATTTTTAAATCTACATTTAAATAATCCGTGTATTGGAGCATGGATTTCTGAATTAGGTCACATGCGTTCAAATCCCAGCTCTGCTACTTACTAGCAGTTTGACCTTGGGCAAGTTCCTGACCTCCTTCGGCCTCAGCGCCCCTATCTGTAAAATGGCAACAAAATCAATATCTGCCTCACAGCATTATCAGAAGAATTAATTGAGAAAATTCATGCAGGGCACTTAGCCTGGGTTCACACATAATAACTGTTGTTACTATTATTCCCAGTGTCTAGCAAAATGCTTAGAAAATGTCAGGCGAATGAGCGGCATCTCTGTGTTTGATGTGCACGTGCGTGTGGCTGTGTGGCCTATACCAAGGCCTGGTGGCATGGTGGGAGAACCAGCATATATGAGGAGGCAGGTCCTGCATAGATGTATGTGTCCACTCCAAAGGGTAATGGGCTGGTTATTTATGGTCAGGGCTTAAAAAAAAAAAAAAAAAAGACAAACCAGTGTTCAGTAATGACAAAGTAATTACCTTTTTATTATTTTTTCAATAGAATTCAGAGGAAGCGCGGGCCTAGGCCGTGGCCAGAACATCCAGCCTGGCTTTGTGAATATCCTGATGCTTTGAGCTACCCTCATTCCAACTGCCCGGCCAGGGAAAGGCTGAAGAGGACTGAGCAGTACTCCAAACACGGAAGAGGTAAGGGACGGAGGGAGAGGGGCTGCCCAGACTCCAAAACAGGAGCTCCGGACATAGTTCTTCTAAGCCCTGGCTGGGTTGTCTACATAGAATGGGCCAAACCAGAGCCTAGAAAATTTAACAGAGACCATTTCAGAGTGGGAAATTGAGGCCCAGAGAGAGGAAGCCACTTACTCACCCGTGACCAAGCAGCGAGTTAGTGGCACAGTGAGAGCAGAGTCCAGGTTGTCCTACCCGAAGCCTGTGTTCTTTACCATCATGTGACTCACTTGAAAATAGGGGTCTGACCCTAGAGCTTTGCCTCAAATTTCTACCTGGAAGGGGCCTGATTTGATAGAAGGTGACTTTTTTGAGGGATCCTTCATGGGATTGTTGGAGACATCATTTTAAGGCACCAGGACCCAAGATGTTAACTAGACTACACTTTGATTGGCATTATCTATCTATTAACAACTAATGGCCCGTGAGGGGACCAAATCAGCTTGAGCCTCTTGTGTGTTCATCCATCCATCCATCCACCCATCCATGCACACAAACTTCTGTTCATCCACCCAAACTTCTATCCATCCATCCAGCCAGCCAGCCAGCCACCTATCCATTCAATCATTCATCCACCCATCCCACCTTCCATCCATCCATCCATCCATCCATCCATCCAACCATCCATCCATCTATCCAATCATCCATCCATCTATTCATTCAATCATTCATCCACCCGTATAAGCTTCCATCCATTCACCCATCCATCCATCCATCCACTCACCCATCTATTTATCCAACAAACATTTGGTGGGTGCACCTGTGTGCCAGGCACCTTGCTAGAACCTGAGAGTCTGGAGATGATCAGACGCACAAAACAGAATATCTGGAGCAACTAGTGAAGAAAATTCAGCGGCACAGGAGGCTTCTCAAAAACACCAGAGATAAACACAGGTAGATGAAGGGTGACCTGACAGGAATCAAGCCCCCAGAATTCCAGGCCCAGCTCTGTCGTTTGCTTGCTGAGGGATCTTGGATAGGCCCCTTCCATTCTGTCTTTGCCATGGCTTCTCTTCCATAGACTAAGAGTGTTGGACTAGCTCGGAGGGCAGGTGGATCCTGTACAGAGAAGATCTCTTGGATGAGTAGTCCTTTGAGCAGGAGGTTGTGAAGCTCCAAGGGGGCAGGGCACAGGAGTTCCCTTGGTTTACAGCAAAAGGATGAGGACCAGAAGATTCTGGAAGAATAAGGAAGAGGAAAGGAAGGGTGGGGAATCTGCTCCAGCTCCACCCTGCACTCTGGATCCTCAAACCATTGCTCTACTTTTCCTTACCTGCCTGTGGGTCTCCTAGACCTGGGATCTCTGATTCCAGGTAACAGACAAAGCCCCTGTCCCTTTGTCCTCCATTCCCCACTTCCCAGCCCCTGCCTCCCCGCAGCTGTGATAACCCACACGTAGCACTCTGCCCTCTGGAATTTATTTTAAGGTCTTGGCTTGTTTATTTATTTTATTTAGAGATTTCTCGGTGCTTTGTGGGGAGGAAAATTCGAATGGGGCGATTATGAAATACTATTTCACCTCGCTGTTCATTCACAACAAACAAAGAGAAATGATTGGTGATTAAAAATGCATTCTCTCTGCTTGTTTTCTTTTGTTTTACCATTATGGAAATATTATAAATACTGAATACTAATCTAGACCTCCGGGACCTCACAGACCTTCCCGAAACCAAGGCTCCTGCTCTTCCCTGGGGCAGCCTCATGCTGTCCTCTGGGGCCCCAAAATATAGCTCAAACCCTCCCCGGAGGGTCCCAGGCCAGGAGACTCCATGACTCAGTCCTCACTGGACAGAGATTGAAGTCTCCCACTTCTTTGTCCTGGTTCCTCGCTTTGGCAGAAATAGTCAAGGAGAGCAGAGCCGTGGATATGCAGAGCTCTTGATTAGTCCAAAAGTTGTGATCATAGAGTTTTATCCCCAGAGTCCAGCACCTGAACCCCCACTCCCTGCTCCACCACTTCTTGGCTGTGTAACTTGGGCATGTGGCTTCACCTTTCTGAGCTTCCGTTTCTTACTCTGGTTGCTGGGGGTGAAAATGGTACCCACCTCGTAGGATTGCTTTGAGGATTAAATGGGGTCATAACATCTTATCACAGGGCCTGGCAAACAGAAGTGCTCAATGAATGTTGGCTTCTATCTCAATTAATTTCCCTTTCCCTCTTCCGGTCTCAGTTTCTCCCTCTGGAAAGTGAGAATGCTGCCCTCTAAGTTCCCCCCAGCTCCGGTGGGCGAGGCTTCTGCCTCCAGGATGAGCGGCAGTGGGGACATCCTCACGCATCCTGACTTTCTCTGAGACCTTGTCTGCTTCCCGGGAAGACAGCCTGTACCTGCTCGGGAGGCCTCCGAGTCAGAGCCTGCTTCCCGTGGCCTCTTTTTGAGCCACAAACCTGGCGCTTCCCCCGGTTCCGATCACAAACAGATAAGAGTCCGAGGGCCTGATCCAATTCCAAAGTGTTACACCAAGTCCAGATAAACAGTGAGTTCCGTGGTGTCCGCGTTCCTTTTATCTTTCACTTTATTTAACCAAATTAACTGCTCTCCATGTCCCCTGTGTGTGAGTGTCTCTCTCTGTCATATAAAATACAATCACGCTTGCTTGCTACATGTTTCAGATACTTTATCATTAACATCAATTCCAGCCAAATTAGGAGTTTCTCCCAACATAATTGCCCTTCCCATTATCCAGCACTTTATTTTTTCAAAGCACTTTCCGACCATTAATTAGTTAACCCTTAGGACGCCCCAGAGCCGACGCTCAATGTCACCCTCCCTGTCTCCCAGCTGGGAAGGAGGGTAGGGAGGGGTCAGGTGCTTTGTTGGAAGTCACCCTGGATGTGGGGGCTGGAGGCTGGGGTGGGACCTTGGGAATCCTCCCTCCAGACTCAAACCCTCTGTCTGGGCTGGGTCCAGGCCTGGGCTGCAACCGACTTTCATCTGATCTGAGCTGGCGGAGGGGCTGGGGGTCCCCAACACCTTTAAATGCCCTCACTCCTGATTCCCTCTATGGCTCACCAAAGGAAGCAGGGAGCAGAATGGAAGATTGGCTAGGTAGTGGCATCTCCTTTGCTGTGGGGAGCCAGGACAAAGGAAAGAGAATAAGACACCCATCAGACAAAGGGACAAGCAGGTGCCATGTCTATAGCCCAAACCGTTTATTTTTTCCCGCTACCAACAAACACCCATTGAGTGCCCCAAAGGTGCCAAGTAACAGACGTCCCTCCTCCAGAATGTCCAGTAGGCAAAGCGCCTTTGGCGTATGGTTACGGTTGCTAACAACCCAAGGGAAGACTTGGGGGTGGTTTGGAAAATTGAATCTCTTGGGCACCCGTTCCAGAAGTGGCTGTGGCTACCAACTGGGGCCCAGCTCCCTCCATAATTCTGCCAACACTTTGTCCTTTCCTAGTTAGGTGCGGCCACAGTCTTGGTCCTGAGCTAGGTGGACAACCTAAAACTTTGGAACAGACGTCCTGGGAAGATTCAGGGGGCACCATATGGGGAAAACAAAATGATTTATTTCTTGGACAGGGTTCTGGCTTGTCAAGATGAACTCTGCTTGCGGCTGCTAGGGACACACTGTCGAACCACCAATATTTTACATTTACGGCCTCTCCATAGTCCTAACTTCTTTAATGATTTTTTTGTCTTTAAATACATGAGCTGGCTCCCACAGGGACATTGCCAGGAACCTTCAGAGAGGTTTTCCAAGCTGCTCGTTAACTCAGAGCCCCGTGAGTTTCACAAGCTTTTCTTAGTTTCAGCCACTTTCCTTCCTTCAGGTTGCCTTGAGGCTGTGGCCACACGTGCTAAGGCAGCCTTGCAGATAGAAACCAGCTACCAGCCTGGGAGCTTTCCCCTGCCCTCCCCACTCTTGTCCCATGCTACCACCCTGTGAAATCACGCTGTAGGGAGCTTTTTCAACCCAAGGAATAGACTCTCCAGGACAGCAGAGACCACACTGACCATTTGCTGTCTGCAGTCTGATACCCTGGGGTCTGAATCCCAGCTCTGACACTTAATAGCAGTTTGACCTTGGGCAAGGTAACCTCTCTAAGCCTCAGTTTTTCAACTGTCACGTGGAGTTGCTGCGGAGGAGGCCGAGTGAGCTAAAGCATGGGAGGGTCCTCGCACAGCGCCTGGCCTGTCGTGGGTGCTCAGTGGATGTGAGCTACCATTTTGGTCAAGGAGCAGATTGTAGCCTTTATTACGACTTTCATTCTTCCACTCTCCTGCCTTTCATTTTGTCTCCATCTAATTTCTTTCAGGATCTGAGTCTGAATATGTAAGCAAGCTGACGTGATCAGACATCACCCTAGTCCTCCAGCTCTTCCTTTCACAGAGCAGAACAGGCATAGAAAGGCGGCAAGATCTAGTTGGCCCTAAGCCCCTGACCAGCTGCCCCAGATGTGTTGCCTTCCACGTGGCCCTCATGCTTCAAGCCCAGCTCCACTGCCAGTTGCCGCAAGCACCATGAGAACAGGGTGATGTCTGGCCCGTCCAGCATTGTCTCCCCGGCTCCTGTCTGAGTGCCTGGCACATGGCACCCGCTCCACAGATACCAGTGAATACCTGAATTGTCTGTGGAGCTGCGCTCTTCCTTCTGGGCTGGGATTGTCTTTTTTTATCTCTTTGAAACTTCTGGAACTCTGTGCAAAAATAGGTAATAGTTCAAGACTGACAAAAGCCATGAGGGACGCTTTCCTCACTGCCCCTACCTTTATAGCTTCATTAAAAAGGAAGACCTGGGGCGGGCCCAGTGGCATGGTGGTTAAGTTCGCACACTCTGCTGCTGCGGCCCAGGGTTCACCAGGTTCGGATCCTGAGGATGGACTTATGCACTGCTTGTCAAGCCATGCTGTGGTAGGCATCCCACATATAAAGTAGAGGAAGATGGGCATGGATGTTAGCTCAGAACCAGTCTTCCTCCAAAAAAAGAGAAAGATCTTATTCATTCTCCCCAACCAATGATTTTCCTGCAACCATGTGTTCATTTATTCATTTATTCACTCAACAAATACCTACTGAGTGTTGAGTGCAGCTGACCTGGGTTTGAATCTTGGCTCTAACATGTACTACCTGGGAGAACTTAGGCACACGGCTTAACCAAGCTGATCCCGGGATTTCTCATCTGCAAGAGGGGGTAGGAGTGCCCAGCTTGCAGGTCTGTTTTGAGGAGTTGATGAGGCATAAGGAATGCCCAGCATTTAGCACAGTGCCTATCACATAGCAGGCCCTACATAAATGGCACAGATTTTTATTACGGGCAGAACTCAGTGTTAGGACCACAGGAGGTGCAGTTGAATTTGAGTCTGTCCTGTAAAGCTCTCAGTCGTGGATAAAAGTTTCTGTAGGACCATTAGCCAATTTTGGTTCGTGAATAACACAATCCTGAAGTTTTATGACATGTTAGCATTACAGAGCACTCAACTGGAGATGGTGTCTCCTGCAGGATTGCTATTGTCTTTTCACATGAGAAAATCAAAACTCAGAGAGGTTGTGTGGTTTCTTCAGGTGGCGGGGCAGAGCCATGTGGCCAATCTAAGAACCTCACACTCCATTTCTAGCACCTTCCTCTACCGCTCCCCTACTCTGCATTACACCCTGCCCCTAACTCCCCATCCTTTGGTGATACCTTTTATTTTCATTTTTTAAAGATTGGCACCTGAGCTAACAACTGTTGCCAATCTTTTTTTTTTTTTCCTGCTTTTTCTCCCCAAATCCCCCCAGTACATAGTTGTATATTTTAGTTGTGGGTCCTTCTACTTGTGGCATGTGGGATGCCACCTCAACGTGGCCTGATGAGCTGTGCCATGTCCGCACCCAGGATCCAAACCAGAGAAACCCTGGGCCGCTGAAGCGGAGCACGCGAACTTAACCACTCGGCCACGGGGCCGGCCCCGATGATACCTTTTATTTACAGGTGCAGCCTGGGGCCTTCTCTGGCACCCTTGAATGGTCAACTGGCACTCTATGGGGCTGAGATGCCCCCACATAGGCCCGCCATTACAGATGGGTTATGCTATAGACCCCAGCAATGCCACTTCTGTGACAGCAACAGCGGAAACTGCCCGTCCCCAGGCCCAGCATTTCCCAATGATACTGAGGGAGGATGAACAACCCAGAGGGTTAGAAAAAGAAGGATCAGATTTGGCCTTACTTGCCCCATGGCTGCCCTCACAAAGACCTGTTGAGACCTTTGCCTAGCATCCCTGAGTCCTGGCACTGAATTGGGGAGCCCTCCCAAACAGTCCCAGCAGCCCTGCCCAGAGCCTAGCACCACCTCGGCAGCCAAGGGACAGGCACCTTTCCAGGTGGGTCCTGTAAGTGATGCGGGGCCATGAGCAATGGTTAAGTAGGGTCATCCTGCTGGCCCTGAAGCCCCAGCCCGGTTCTACCGGGGACGTTGCTCCTCCTCCTCCCACCAGTAGCTGGCAGTTAGTGGGGCTCAGCCTGTGGCAGGCCCTGCGCTAACGGCTTTGACTTACAGCATCTGATTTAAGCCTCATTCTGCCCCTTGAGAGAGAGTCTGGATCATTCCCATTTCACAGATGGCCAGACTTAGAGAGCTGGCTAAGGCTTAGAAAGGCTCTGTGTTTCCAGTACCGGGGACTATGCCTGGCAGGTACATAGCAGACACTTGATAAACATTTGTGGGATACATAAAAACATGACCAAGGGAGCGAATAAATGAAAGGTAATAACTCCTATTAATCAGGAGGACTACCACGCTCCAGCCACATTCTTCAGAATGTCCATATGTCAGCTTGTTTACTCCCTGCAGCCATCCTGTGGGTAGGTACCATCATCATCACCTCCACACACGCAAATTAAGACCCAAGGAGATTAAGAAGTCCCCTTGGGGGCACACAGGTAGCAGGCAGCAGGGCTGGTTGTTGAACCCTGGCAGCCTGGCTGCAGAGACTGCATTGTTATTCCTCTGCACCATAGCGGGGTAAACGAACGGGCAGGTGATGCATGAGGGAGTGGGGGTCCCGGAGCTCTGCTCTGGAGCGTCTCTCTCTGCTTCTGCAGCACTAGTGTTCCCAGCCCTCATCCAAACTAGAGGAAGCGTTTCCTCTAAGTCCTGACCGCTCTCCCCGGCACCTTCCCACCGTTACCTACACAGGGAATTAAGACTCAAATCCTCGTTTGACACGATGCAGGAGGATGCTAAGTACTTAAGCGCTAATTAATTAGTGAGCTGTACCCGCCGCCACCAGCCGCTGGAGGAAACCTCAAACAGACCCCCAGAGCGCCAGCGCCCTCCCTGCCATGGAGGCCAAGGCATCAGCCAAGCACAGAAAACACAGAGGAAGGGGCCGCACGGGCAGCCCCAGGCCCAGCCTCTGGAGAGAAGGGGCTCCAGACAGCACTGACCCCTGCCTTCCGGTCCTCGGAAACTTGTGGGAGCTGGAGTTCTGGAACCCGTCATGGCCGGGGCTCTGGATGTGACTCTCCCATGATGGACAATCCTGGGTTTGTCTGACTTTGCAACAAGCTCTCAAGGCAAGGCAAGGATCTGCCTCATATTGCAGGCAGTTTCTGGGCCCTTTAGACAAGAGGGAAACCAGCTGGAATGTGTTTTTCAGGGGCTGGGCCAAGGGGCCACGAGGCCTCCCAACACAGTTAGGCAGGGACACCCTAAAGCAGGCTTCACCAAGGGAGCGCTGGCTGAAGATTTGGCTCTCTCCACCTCTCTTGTACTTGGTCCTACCATCTGTGGCTGCCCAAGGTCAATTCC